AATGCACCAAAAGCTTAAAAATCAATGTTTATTCCACTAAAGCTGGCCCTTTCCACAAGAAAGGAGACAAAAATCAAAGGTGATATGTACATTTTCCTGTGAAACCATTGCTTTCTGGCGCTGCGTAACGATGTTCAGAAGAACATAAAGCGCAGAGTTTGGAGGAGGATTAGCACTGAGTAGATGTAGCAAAAGTTTGGAGCATTAGATTTATTACCCAGGGGCAAAAACACAGGATGGGAAAGTGAGGTGTTCTGACAAAACAGATTAGAGTGTGTGAGTGAGCGCGCTAATGTGAGGTCATGGACAGAAATGCACTGAAGTCTACCAAAAACACACATGCAGAGACACACACACACAAAATACATACAATTGCAAGCACCCTAGCATTTAACACTAAGAAGACACGGTTTGAGAATATAACTGAATTACTGTAATTGTAAATCTTGCAATCAGTGATGGCTAATGTCTACAAGGAAGGAGCAGGAAAGGATCAATAGTTTCTTAAATTAAACTTAATCTAATTTAGTAAAATGTTGTCATTTAACCAAATTAGAATGACAACATTTTAAATATATTTAAAATTGAGATACAATTATACAGTTCACGAAAAGAAGCAAATGATTTTCAGGAAAGTCGTATGTGAACAAATGTCAAGGTTTGGATGCTTATGCTTACAGTGTATGGCATGTGCAAAACAAGGCTTCTTTTATCAATGTTCTTTTTAAATGCTCCTGATGATGTTTGTGTTCTGTGCTGTGGAATGTACTCATAAACCAGAAATCATTTCAGTTGATGAATCTCTGAACTAATGATAAGATAAACGGACGATATGATAGAAACCTGGCCTGTCTTTCAAATACATGCAGGTAAAGTTACACTAAACACATATTCCCATTTTCTTAGTAACGTCTTCTCTATTTTCACCTGTTAATGACATTCACAGACAGACTTGGATTGACCTTTATTTAACCATGATAGGTGTGCTCTCTTTTTCAGAGTCCTGGCCCCAGAGGAGAGGAGCAGATACATGTTTTTAGAAAACATGAAAACCCAGGCCCAGGGCCTCGTTTCTCTGAGACAATGTTTTATCCACTTGAGAAAAAAAACATTTTACCATCTTTGACTCACAATGGTCACTTCAACAGCACATGCATCTGTGGAATAGTCACCAGATCTGTTCCTTGCCTCAGTATACTATTTGAACACAGAAAGAGTGTCTATGTTTCATGGAAGAACAGGGAATGAGGACTAGATAATCACGACTAAATGTAAGCAGTGGTGTCAAGCACCAGTGCAAACAATCTGTGTGGTGCACTGTGTGGCCACAGGGAAAGTCCTCATGGCACTACCTGTCCTCTTCTTTCTCCGACACCACATCCACCGTGTAAGGGTCTGGCTTCAAGTTGTTGTGGTTTTGTTGCGTGGTGTTGAAGCGTAAAACCTGTATGATTCACTTGAAGTGGGCCGTAAGTTTAATGGGGTTAATTTTGTTCCTCAGATAAAGCCTCAGACAGAGCCTCAGCTCTGTCATACTCATGTTATAATGACTGGTTCCAACTTCTGTTGCGATTATCTGTGGATTGTGCTTTTGCGGCTGCCAGCCGCAGCTCAATAGTAGAAGATACCGGGAAAGCTTAAATAAAAATGGCCTGTAGTGGATGAATGTGAAAGTGGATGGTTTCTGGCTGTCAGTATATGTCCCCTCTAAGTGTTAGCTCCTAGTATTGCTTTACAAAATGGCTTAGAGAACTAGCAGGATAATTGATGTAATAGGCGTGTAAAAAGTTCAATGAATTGTGATATTGATTTGAGGTCATCTCGGTCAGCTCGACTCGTGAAGCGGTGAGTAAAGGTGGTGTATAAAGAAAATTACAGCATCCCTCTGAAATGCAAGTACATCTATTATGAGGTAGTGAATTTAATCACAAGCAATATGGTTTCTAAAAAGACTAGTATAAATAATTAAACATGTAACATATAAGCAAAATATTCAATATTGTTTTTTGTGTTTTATTGGTCATTATCATTAAAGATGATTTGAGTTATTATCCTCTTCATGCGGCATAGATACGATAAGACTTTGTTTATAGATACTGATACTTATACTCCTGACCTCAATACAGAAGACTTCTAAATGTATGAGTGAGTATGGCAAACAGAACCTGATACTGATCATCTTTTCAATCTGCTACTGTTGAATGCATTTTTGAATATATATAATTATTTGTAAAGATTAGAACAAAAGCAGAAAATATAATGAAAATAAATGGTACATATTTTTATGTTAATTTATATCAAAATATACACTATGAAACCAGCCCTATTACATTCAATTGCTGTTGGTCTCATTATCGATGCACAAAAGTGAAACAATTTCCATGGCATCAGTAAGTTATGATTAGAGATAATTTTAGTTTACTGGTCTATAACACACTCTACACAGGCCTGCACTTGCATAACTCGTAAGTATTGAACTTCTCCTGAAAATGACAAACCCATAAGTAAACCAGGCCTCTGCTGCATACGCATGGGTTGTGCCAGAAGAAAAGAGCACATGTACAAAGTAGGCGGTGGAGGAGAGAGAGGCTGCGTATCGATCGATCAGACATGTCGGCAGCCAGACAGCCAGGGAGACGTCTGTCCTTGTGCTGCCACTCTTGGGCCGGCAGACACCTAACCCCCTGTTCCTTACGGGACAGTGGCGTCAGATCGGGGGAGCAACAGCGCTGGTGCGTGTGTACTGGGTTACCCCTGTAAGCAGCCTGCCTGTCGCTACCTCCTAAGTCTTCAGGGGGCCTCAGGTGTGCCACGTCTTCTCCTCTGTGGAATTAACTAGTTCCAGTCAGGAAACTAATCTCTGGCTCTTTGTCGCACGCGCAACCTCACCACTATGGATTTTATCAATACACCACGACACTGTGAACTGAGCCACCACCAGAGCGGCTGTCAAACCACTGACAGGCCCCTTTCGTACACCACATCCCATAACCCCCCCAGTACAACACTTTATCCCCATTTGGGCTTCTAATAAAGAATCTCATTCCTGGAAAAGAACCAGCTCTGACAGTGTCTCTCTCTTGTCTACTGGAGCCATACAGGAATGCATTGAAAACCTTGAGTACAAGAAAAAAAAGTGCAATGCAATCAAAGGAGCTCGAAAAAGCGACGTATGAGCAGAAAAATCGCACAGAAAGTGAAGTACTCATAGGCTGAACAACTCCTTTGAGAGCGTTGTGCTATTGATTTACTAATGGTTAACACTAATACCGTGTACGTTGCTTTAAATCTTGGCCACTTCATAGAGCTGTGTAGTATATTCTGTAATAGTGTGAGAGATTTATGTTTTAGTTAGCAGGAATCATTAAAGATATGTCATATTGGTGGTCGTGTGAGTTAAATGAAATGTCCACATTACAAAAGTAATATAGTGAAGGGAAGCAATGTCAGGGATAACATTAGTTCTTATGGGGATATAGGAGGCCATAAGCTACACTTTGACATTAGGGTGAAAGAAATAGTGATCGGGACCTTTGTATCCTCCAATTTAATTATTACTCGGTTGCCTTAACCAGTTGTTCTTAAATGCTGGGTCAAGACCCAAAAGTGGAATGTGTGGGAGGTAGAAGGTAACCCCATGCATGTTCTTGTTGGAAGTGATTTGTGACAAGGGTTTAAACATACAACAAGTAGAATAATAATATTGATAAGTAATACAATTAGATACCCTATACCAATGTAATGGTGTATATAAGTAACTTTGAGTAAAAATTCTGGCAATTAATCTTGAATACAAGGTTATATTTTCCAACCAAACCAAAGACCAGTATATGACTCATAGAATTTATCAATAGTTGAGGTCATTTTCTTTTTACTGTACCACCAGCCCATCCCCCTTTATGTCCGTCCCAGATGTAAATATAAAATTGCAGACCCCCTCCAAGCATCCTCAGATTGCCCTCCAGTTCAGGGGGAATTACAGGCTAAATTTGATAGATTGAACCTCCTATTTCTTCTTTCTGTCATTCTGTCTGTCCATCCATTACAGCTGATCCTATTGTTCCAAGCGCTGGGAGGCTGCAGCTCAGCTTGACCCTGCAGGTCAGATAATCAGATGCTCTCCTCTGTGACCCGCACTAACCTGCAGTTCAGGCGACACTGGGCCGGACGCTTCCACAGCAGCAGCAGCAGCTCATTTAATATATAGAAGCTCGCTGCACGACCATAAATGAACTGGCCAGTGGACAATAGAAATAAAACACAGGGGCTCTTAGGGACTACGACCAAATCAGGGCAATGCAAAAAAAAGATTGAAAAATTAGACGACGCCACTGGGAAAAGAGAAAATATAAGTATAAAGCGCTCACTGGACAGACTTGAACTCACAGCCGAGACTGGATATTCTGAATCAATGAGGTCTGTTCATTTTAGACATGCCTTACTGCGTCCTCACATAAACGTAAACAATAGGCTAACGTTTACAAAAAGTGTCAGAATTCTAAATGGGGAAATAAATCACTTTTGTATTTTGTTATTTTGCGAGTGGACTCACATCTCCACAGATCTGACCTGGCACTTTCAGCTTTCTGTTGGTTCAAATGAGAAAATGTAAATTATACTATGAAATAAGGAAACTGAGTGTGAGTGTTTTGTGTTGTATTGAACAAGTGAGAGAAGTTGGGGCCAAATAAGCGTTTGCTTCGTCCAACTGTGTATTTCAAACAGTGGATAACTGTTTATTTTGTATCTTGTTTATTTTCTAATAGTGTGGTAAAATGTGTATACATAGGTTTAAAATGAACAATACAAGAATTAATACAAGCAGTCGCTGGACCCTTCACATAATTGTTGAGAGCTCCGCAAAAGAACGGTTTCAGCAATACTGTACATTTACAAAGTGCCTTCTCAACTATTTGCACATGTAGTTGTGTTTTGCTCTTGCTTTAGCCGAACAAGAACACGCAGTGGACCCGACACTGAAACAAAGGCCAAACTGTAAAATGGAGGAGAACAAGAAAGATGGTATACGAATAGGAGGGGTGGGCAAGAAGGAGCGAGCGTATATAGGAGAAGGTGAATCCGATTTCTCCCGGTAAATTGGACTCCCGTGCTTTTTCTCTAATTCATGTTTCAGAGCCGCATTGATGGGGAGAGCGAGCGAGGAGGAAGAGGAGGGGAAAAGGGAAGACAAATCCATGCAGGGGGAGAGCAGAGGGAGACTGCGGCCGCTCTCCCACAGGCAGACAGCAATCAATAAATCAATAGGAAACTGTGGTTGGCTGGAGAAAGGCTGGAGCTGGGGATGAAAAAAGAGAGAGAGACCCGAATCAAAGTAGCTCCAAGATGGATGGAGCGAAAAGAGGAAGCCAGTGAAGGAGGCACAGGAAAGAGGGTTCACTAGAGGTGCAAGGCGTTAAGATGTAGCCAAAAGCGGAAATGTGCTTTTAACAGTGTAAAAAAAAAAAGCTGGTGAGTTTGGGGTCGCCTTCCCTTTGTCCCGCCCGCAAACCTGCATCAGTCGCACTGTGACCGGGCTTGGCACAGGCTGTGCGAAACCCCGCTGCGGTCAGCCCTCCAATGAGTCCAGTGAAGCGCGCCAGCATCAGGAGCTTAGAAGGAGGGGTGGATGGGGTTTGGGGGAGAGGGGGTGAACTGGTTCCCTCTGCCCGCTGGGTGAATGCCTGCTCCACTGGCTACTCCTGCCCTGGATATATGCTTGCACGGTCCTGGGACGGCTGGCTGACTAAGCTTGGGCTGCGCAGTGCTCGACATTGATCTCTGTGGGTTGGGGAGTACAGCTGGACGCACACAGAGAGCTGGGGCTAAATCTGGCTCTGGCTCAATCAACGTTTGCACCTGTCTTTTCCAAAGGGAATTAAACGTAGCAGATAGAGAGAAAGAAAGAGTAATGGTCTGTGTGAGCATCTGTGCGTCTATGCCCCTGTGTGTACCTGCGTGTGTGTGTGGGGAGGGAAGTTATGCTATAGCTGCAGTAGGACAGGGGCAGCCAGGGGTTACTTTGGCCGTTTCAGATAAAGAAGTGTGTACAAATGCTATCTCCACAAGCTTTGAAGTGTAAACAATTTAAGATACTGATGAAATTTAGTTAGCTATGTAGTTACACGGGAAAGTTCTACAAAAGATAAGGGACTGTCGCAAAAAGAGGATAGAGAAGAATTGTTCAATTGTCACCGCGTTACATTTGATCCTCATCCTCATTTACTCTTGAAGTTGAATGTGATTCATTTATGTTTCAGTCATAGTTTTTATCTTGCATTTGTTCTACAGTTATTACTTAGATCTCAATGTACAAAAAGTATCATAAGCAGCATCACGTACCTTTAATTAACGCATGGCGCCTTAAAGATGGCGCCGTGGCAAGAGCTCTGGTGTGTGTCGTCTGGTGCACACTGGGGTAGTCTTGCACAGTTTTTCCAGTGTGGTTTTACTGCAAATGGCAAATAAATGAATCTGAATCTGAATCTGAATTGTTGTGGCTGAGTGGCACTTGTTGTGATGTGGTGTTTTTTATAAATAATTATTGCTATTTGTGTTTTGGGATCATTGTTTGGAGTAACTAAAATTGTGAGATTTATCTCCTGAGAAAATGTGCTTTAAAATTAGGTATAAGACTCCTGGGTAGCACATCAGCTGGATTGGAAGGCCAACAGTTGTTATCACAAAAACTTAAATCATCAATCAGATTCAGTCGTTTTGGCAGTTTCTTCACGGCTGAGCGAGTTAGCAGCCCCGCCCTCGTCCCTACGTCACGGCATGCACGAGCATCGTCCTGACTAACTACAGCTGTGTTCCCAACGGATCGTGTGTTGCGGCGAGTTTCAATGCAAAGTCAATGCATTTGAGAAATTGCATGAACTCATGACATGACATGAACGGATGACATGAACTTTTGTCTGCCGCAGCTAGATCCATGCAGCAAAAGCAGGAGATAAACATCCGAGAGCAGCAAAGTGGTCACTGGGTCACATGCCGGTCAAAAACTGGAAGATGAAGACACTCAAAAACAATCAAAATATGAGATAAACCAGGATTAAACCAGGGCTGACGATGGGGGACGCGATACATTCTACTGTGACTGCAAACGTGTTTGCCAATATGGAAGTACTCACCGCGCCATTATGGAAAGTGGTGGGTACTTCCAGTACGACAAATTCACTAAACTCATGCAGCTGAAATTTAGTGAATGTGCGGCCATGCATTGGCAGTGGGAACACAGCTTTTTGCCGTCTGCGGCAGCACTGAAATCGGTGGCTTTGGCTTCTCCGCCATGTTGGTTTTGGTGAAGGCACGTGCACACACAGAGAGAAACGCCCCTTCATGCTGTTCTCCATGCTCTCTCCTGATTGGCTAAAAATTGTCAAGCCTTTGAAATTCCTATGTAGAAGCAGGGTCTGTTAGACAGTTAGTATCAAACAAGAAGGACTGTGGTGATGATCCAGGACACTCAACATTCAACAACATTTATGGACATTCATCAACACTAATGGACATCGGTCAACTCCCCTATGGACCACTACAATGTGTTCTCTATTCTTTGTGTTTGAACTGTTTGATTCTCTGATTTGTGTTGGCAAATTCAACCATTTTGTTAAGTACTCTGAGATAACTACTGTTGTGAGTTAGGGCGATACAAGAAAAAAATTTGAAATTTATTTTATTAATTAATCATGACTTTCACACCGAATGGTATTGAATTAAACACTCTCTGTCTACACCACCTGACCAGCACCAAATAATCACTGGCAGACTCACGGAAATACACACACATACATGCAAACACACACATACACAAACGCACGCGCTCGCACGCACACGCACACACGCACACACACACACACACACACACACACACACACACACACTCAAAATAGTTTTTCTATAATGGGTTGAACACAAAATCACTTGGGACATGAGCCACTTACTTGGTTTAGAAAACCTGAGGATGTTAACTTTAGCAGCGTGAAACAAGATTGTAAGATAAGAAACACATTTTTATTACAGCCCTTGAAGCTTATGGAAACAGATTTACTGCAGGATTTGGATCTCTCACAACATAATCCTCTCAATTATCATTACATGCAAATATCAGAGGTTCAACTATGATGAAAACAGCCACATGAAAAATATATTATTATAGTAAGATACAAGTAAAAATTCTTGTGTCGGACCAAACTTTTCTACAGAGCTGATGAAATATCTACTGGGAACTGAATTGTTCAAGAGAACAGAACATATTACAACAGAAAACCCTGGAGCAGCGCAGGTGGATGTTTCGACCAAGGACTGAACACAACACAGAGCAGGTAAAGTATAACATTTTAAATCTGGACAATGCACACTTGATGTGTAATATACTGTGAAGGCCACGTTCAGAATTGGTCCAATTTGGTGCGTTTTTGCTCAAAAGAAAGAACATTACTGCTTTATACCATTTTCTATGGGTGAAACTTAGAAAATTACAAAATTCTTGCGACTGTAATTTGACTTGAAATGTGAAACCTCATGTGAAACTCATTGCAAGAAAATGATGATTGTATTTTTATTATAACTTTGATGACTGTAAGCCATTATGAAACTATTTAGTGATTTTTATGCATCAAATTTGGAATCACTTGCATTCTTAAAACAAATCTGGATTTAATGGTGTCATTTCAAAATATATGATTTCGGCAATCTCAATATGTATTAAGATTGCCAAATCTTTTGCATTTGATGCAAACTTTTGTCCATTTGACAAAAGCATCAAGTTCACAAAGTGGACCATCAGGGCTGTTTAACGTTAATCTAGCATCCCAGAAGCTTCAATTTGAATTAACACAAATAAATTTTTTGTGTCACCTGGATTACATCAGTTATTTATTTATTTTTTACTTAAAGGATATCGAGGGGGTCAGAGCTGCACTCAGTACACATAGCACCAGCCACCAAAGATAACACATACAAAACTTAAATCACTGATCAAAAAACAATTGTTCCAATTAGTGTTAGTTATTATTTTTTAAAGCCTCAATTGAAAAAAAAAAACAAAAAACAAAATAATAGCTAAAAATATAAAATAATGAAAAAAAATATATATATATATATAGTATCTTGAGTGTCCAAAAAATGTTGACAAATTCTACAATATTTACATTATTGGTGTAAAACTACAAAGTAGTAAAAATTAGATAATCTTCCCTCATAAAGCTCTAACAAGTTTTGAAATACATCTAGTATTTACATCATGAGAATTGTAGCCATTGTTTTAGAGCAGATGGTCAGACCCTGGTACGGATTGTTTTCCAAATACAGTTTTTAACAGTCGTGTTTCTCTGAAATGTACTTAAATTAGCGGCGCGGTGGCACAGCACAAATGTTGAGGGCTCTATCCAGTGCTTCCAGGCTTTTCTGTGTGTTTCTGTGTGTTTGCATGTTTCTCCCCATAAGACAGTGGACTTTTCATGGTAGTCAAAAAAGAGGAAACATTGTTCTTATGTCAGATTTTTATTTGGCCTTTTGTTTTAGCAACAAGAAAACAACGCCCAGGGGGGACAGTGCGAGCCCAGTCCAATAATGCACCCACGTCATCAATACTGCTGATATAGTACACGGCAAAGTGAGTGGGAGAGAGTGTAAAAATACTGTGCTTCAAAGAGTCCAGTTTGATTGACATCCATCAAATGCCAACATTATGTGAGTTCAAGGATGCCGTTGTGCATCACAACCAGCAGTGGGTGCAATGCACCTACGGAGGTCAAGGGAGAAACAGCGCCTCCTTTTCTAGTTTCCGGTGAGCGATGGCAAATGCGGTTCATTGGTGCTTGCGGCTAAATTTATTATCATCATTCATTCATGTGATAATTACTCAATGAGAATGTTTAGGAAAGTTGATGCACTGAACGGACAAAATATTCTATTTGTTAAAAGGTATTTAGGGAGATGTTTCTACATATTAACAATGTGATGTGTACAAACATAACTGTTAATCACTATTTCACTGCCGTCAGTGCTCAGCCCCAATCACATGGCACCTTCTGTTGTGCCAGTGGAGTCTTTTCATGTAGCCAGTTAGCAGCTAACGCTGGTTCTTTGTGATTTTGGCCATAACAAAAGAGTTGCACACATTTGTGTGGGTTGGAACATGTGAAAGACAGTAGAGATCCGCCATAACAGTTGCCAAAAGACATGAGAAAATCAAAATAAAACTTGAGTGGCCCTCAATTTAAATAAGTGTGTATTTTCTAATTTCAATACCTTGTATGTACATATCAGAGTTTGACTTCAGAGGTTCATTTAGAAAAAATATAATTCTACCTTCAGAGCACTACCAAATCTAAACACATTACTTGTGTTCAAATGAACAAGGACAAACCCAAAAGAGGATAAAAAATGATTCTATTCAAGCAATTGTTAGAACCAGAATGAGTCTGGCTTCAAGGAGCTTGTGTATGAAGCACATTACTAATAATAAAACACTATTCTAGGGACATGTTGATGGAAGCTTGACAACACATTCATTCTGTCTTTGATAGACTGTGCATTTAGGTCCAGCCGGACTCTATTTAAAGCAGCTGAAAGTGGCAACTCAGACGTCTGATCATTAGCTCTCTCTGGCAAACCCGACCATGTTTAAAGCTACTGTCAATAGTCATTGTGCAATTAAGTTGTTTGCATCGATAGCCTATTAGATGGCTCTCTCCAGCCTTTTATAAACTGCTGTGTGAATGCTCCCAGACTTATTGAACATGTATAAACACTGGCAGAGCACTCATTAA